CGGGGACAGTCCGGTGACGCTACTTACCTATTTGGCAGGCACCTTCGCGACGGCATGTCAGGTTACGTCACAGAGAGCTTCCCCCGTTTCTATCACATTGGCTCAACGAGCGATTACAAATTATTTACCCTAAATTGCGGGCACTACGTTACAAAGTAGATTGCACCGTCCCCCTGACGGCTTGATAAGCATACGCTTTATTTTGAGCTGACAGCGTTTCTGTTTGTCTGATTATGTTTCATAAATTCTGGTTAATTGAATGCAGCAGGACAGCAAATGATATACTATAGTTATATGCAGTCGTTTTGTCCACGTTGTTGTGTGTCGGCACACGGCCGGTAAATTTGCTTGTCCTCATCCCAAGCTGCGCGTGAGGCGGAGGTACCCGGAGCCGCGAGTGCGCGGCTTGGCGCGGCTGCAACCAGCCGGCGTGTCGGTGCGCGGCCGCGATCGGCGTCGCGTTTCACGCTCACGTACTCGAATCGCGTTAACTTTCGCTTGTGTACTCGCTAGGCAATAACAACTGGAGTGGAGCGTGTAGTAGGGCCTTGGCAATACCAGATTTGTATTATGCAAGAATATTGTATCATAAACTAGTCTGTCGTCTTTAGTTTTGTGATAAAGTATTTCATATAACAGATAACAACGGCATCATAGTGTGTATCGGCGTGCTCAAACACTCTTTTAGCAAGCGAGCGATATGTTTGTGCGCGAGTTAGGTGTCAATTGAGCAGCATGCATGCGTATAGATGTATGAATATGGATGTGACAAGAGTTGTGATTGTGTTGTGCCAGAACAGCCCCAAATGGAAATGTGTAATCGGAGAGGGGTCAGGGACGTGTTTTACGGTATTGTTGTTTCTGTATATATCTTCTCATTATTTTATACCATTATGCGATTGTCGTGTTGCCGACTTGCCCTGCCATTGTCCAAGCTAAACTAAAACAGTTTAATAGGCTAATTTAACAAAGGAATTACTTGTATTGATAATCAAAATCTCCGAAACAGTCGATTCCAAATGACTTAACTTCTTTTACTAACGCAATGAGATTAAACACTTAACATAACACATTCGTGAAAAACGCATCCAAATCGCTTAATCGTTTCCGAGATTAGTGCGCTCGAACTCGCAGCCATCCACGCGACATCAACACAACAACACAAAAACCAACATTATATAAACATAAGTAGTGTTTTAGGACAAAGAGATTAATAAAATACAGAACTGTTCAATTGTGTTCGCTTTAAAGAGTGTGTGTGTAGGTGTGTGTGTATAGGGTTGAATTATTGAAAACCTTATCTTATACAACTAATATAGTTATTAGTTTAGTTAGGTATAAGATGGCGGACGAGCAAGCGGCCACTAGACTAGCGAAATCACCGCTGCTATACACGTGTCCAACACTTCGAAATGTTATAGATGCGTTGTCTAATTTTGATTGAATACAGGGGACTCACTCAATCAGGATATGGACCGCTTAGTTTGAAAGTAGTGTAAGTCCATTCTCAATAGTGTCGAGATAATGAGAGGTAAGCATAACTGTTTATTCAAAAATAAAGGCAAATTGAATGAAGTCTGGCAATTTCTCTATTGTTATATAAATAACGAATTTAATTATACCATTTATATATATATATATATATACATATGTGTTTTAGGCGCATTAAAGTACAATAACAGATAAATATGAGTTGTAACTGGACGTACACTGCTTTTAAAATTAGACAACTGTAAATATCGTTCATTTTAATTTATAAAAATCGAAAAGGACTTAAAATATATTTATTTTCAATTCAATTTTGGTAACAACATAATTAGTGTTTACAAATTTATTTGGAAACACTAATTACGTTCACCATGCACCATGCACCATGCACCGGAGGTATACAGGATAGTAACTGCTTCATGTCTTTATATCTTCGTAAGTAACAGGCATTATCGTGCAACGGCGCACTGGCGATTTTTTCAAACTTTAGCGGTTTTCCAGGACGTGTGGGTAATAAATTCATATTTTTAAATTCAGCATTCTTCAATTCTTCATTACTGTTTTATATAAAACTAGCTGTTCCAGTGTTCTGTTGATCCGAATGAAATTATGAAAATTTTATTTGATACATATACATTTTAATGTTCGTCGTCAGTGTGTTGTATTTGTTGCCTAATCGAATTTGAAAGATTTAATGATGAAGCTATTTATAATTAAGAGAAATATTTTCAATTGTTATAAAGATAATGTTGATTTACCATTTGTTTCTTACTTACTCGTATATCATTATCTCATGTCAATATGAAGTTATACAATTTATGAAACAAATAAAAAACTAAATAAGTAAGCTAACTTAGCAACTCTTGACACGTACGATAAAACAGATGAATCAAAAATAACATAATCGTATACTGATCGGCAAACTTCTGTTAAACCAGCTACCTCTGGCAACTTTCATTTACCGACCAATTTTAATTGTACAATACATGGGGTTTTTAAGAAATTACACACGGACTAGTTTTGCTTTAAAAATAAACATTAGATTATGCATGCAATACGTCTTCTCATTATCTCCAAAACGGACTTACACTTTCAAAATAAACTTCTACTTCACCAAATCTTCCAATCGGAGACGATCGCAGTTGGTCTCGCGTAAGCACGCAATCATTAGACGAGACGCGGAAACACCTAACTTCTGCTTGACAGCTGTCTTCTGTCCTCTTGTGTTTGTGCTACTGCTCCGGCTAGCGGGACAGTCCCGCAGCAGCTGCTGCTGACCAACATCACTGTTAAATGGTCATACACTATACATAACCAAAACATTTTATATTCGACGAATCAGCATTTTGAGAACATATTGTATGCTCTTAATAACCGTTTTCACAAGCAAGGAGCAATTAAATTAGAGATTTGTATTTTAAGCAACGGCTAATGCTTAATACATTTAAGGAATTTGCACAACACCGTTATTTATAAATAGTTACGGTAAATAGTGAAGTGCCTCTGTATTTTGTCGGCCAACCTGCTCTTTTGGGAGGTGTTTGCAAATAATAAAGTGCATTTTGTGCTACTTAATATTATGCAATGTGAACATGGGTTGAATGTGATGTCGCGATCAGTAGACAGTGCGGCGCCGGCGCGGCGCTGTCAAATTACACGTGCGCACAGTCACTGACTCGTCACCTGCGCACTTCGCCCAGCGCCCTGCGCCCTGCGCCCTTGCCCAGCGCCTTGTGCCTTACGCGCATCAGACAACAGACTTGTATTCCAAGTACAAGCGTACTTGCATTTTGGTTTTTGTTTGGCATTTACTATGTAACAATAATTGTAAACCTATACGAATAATATGAAGAGGAAAGATTTGTATTTCTGTACATGTTGAAACTACTGGGCCGATTTAAAAAATTCTTAGCCCATTAAAAAGCTACGTTATCAGTTAGTAATATTAGCCATAATTTCAGTTATTTTAAATTTGACTCGTATGAAGTCGCGAGCAACAGCTATTACATTATAACGCTGACTTGTGCTCAGGCCAGGCACAGTGCGATGTATTTCAGCGACTATTTGATGAACCAGTGAATGAACACGATTACTTTTCACTACCCGCTGAACTGTGTGTGCTAGTTGTCTGTGGCGTCTCACACATGGAGACAATATTCAATTTATGTGTTTATTAACATTAATGTGGATATTAGAAACGGCGACGAGTGCGCTCGCGCGGCTCGCCTGCCTGCACACGTCCTCGATACAAAAATAGCCATTATGATGCAAACTGCATCGGAAATTTGTTTTTTTGTTGTTTTCGACCTCAAAGCGCTCGATGTTGTCGCCGATTCGAAACGTTTTAGCACATAAAAAATAAACTTTTTAATAAAAAAACAAAACCGACTTCCAAACAAAATATTCTAAAAACGAAATATTCTCAAAAAAACAGTACACTAAAAGCTAGTAGCTTGTAGCTATTATGTCTATATTGTACAATTATTATTAATTTGATGTCGGTGTCAGCCGAGGTATGAAGTGGTGTTTTTACGCAAGGCTTTCTACATTTTTACCATAACAATTGACAATTTTAAGTACAGTAACGTTTAAGTAATCAATCTACATTGACTGACACCGACTTAGATTGGATAAGGATTCATACCGAACACGAGTAATAGCGTTAAAAGTGGGGTGTAGATTTCGAGCGATATTTTTATGAAGAAAGTGGTTATTGTGCGACAACCTTAATAGATAGATATATGCTATCGCGAACTTTTATTTAGCAAATTTAATATGCTACAATTCTTCCATACATCATTTTTATGTAAGTCTTATAGTTTAGGCTACGTAAGCAAAGAAAGCAAAAGTGACACTAAATTTCGTCGTGCGATTTTGAGCTAAACTATTTAACTACGTCGTAGTCTTAGACTTTAAAAATCAAACAAAAAAATGGGACCCACCTGCAAGCGTTACCTTTCGGATAAAACAAGATTTATCAAAATCGGTTCACTAGCGGCGGAGTTATGCCGTAACACACATAAAAAAAATATTCAGACGAATTGAGTATCTTTTGGGAAGTCGGTCAAAAACAGCACATGCGCCCATTTTATTCAATGTCAAAAGCGATGACAGGGAACTTCGCGACGGCTCAGAGGTGGTACGTCTTTAGGAGGAATCTAAGAAATATTGCAGTTTTAGACAATTTTTACTATGGCTCGTCGCTAAGGAAACCTTTTTACAAACATTTTTTTTTATAGAGACATATGAAAATTTAATTTAGAAATTTGAGACAGACAAGTGATAATCGCCGTCCTTATAGTGTGTCTAAATAATTTAGATTAGTTTGATAAATGACGCATATGAAGTACCGAATTCAATTCGTATGAAGTCAAATACTATACTTAATAGACAGGTATCGTAGTGACGAAAAAAACACACATACCGAATAATTTTTAACTATCGATATTCGGCTTAAGTAATTAACAAACTCAACTAAAATTATTATTTTCTTATTCACTAACTTAGAGAACAATTTTAGTATTGATTATAGTATAAAGAATTTAGCGATGACAGAAATAATAGGGAAATCCAATTCGATTACGTACGGCTGTAGTAGTAATAGACATTTATTTACTCTCATTATTTGTTATGGTCATTATTATTGTGAGAAAACAGTGTTTTTTTTTTCTTTCATAAGTTATTACTATAAATTTGTAGATTCCAACTTCTATAAAAATAAAAATTGAAAATCGATAAGATTCATGACTGATTTCACACAACCCATCCCTACTAAATTTGAAATGAATTGTCAAACTAATCTAAATTATTTAGACAAACTATAGTTTAATTATTGATGTGACGTTTCACACTCGCTATCGTAATCCTTATGCCTCTGGACTTATCCTGTTTTTATATACTCGTATTTGTAAACCTTTATTGTCATGACACACATGACATACACTACCTTTTCCTCTATAATAAATAATAATCACATCCGTGAATTTTATACTTTATTTTCATACTTATTGGCCCCTAGCAAAGTTTTGCTGATTTCGAGAAGTCTCTATTAACACCTTTCTACGTTTACTTTTAAAGTGTCGTGTGTTCTCTGCGGTCGCGGGAGGAGGACACTCTTGGACAAGGCGGTGGTCGAGGGCGCACTGGCACAGCGCGGCGCTGCGTAACCTTGCGCGGTACGCGGTAAACACGTCACGTCACGAGCTATTCTTAGCCAGCAAGTGGGCGCGTGCGGGGTCGACGACCGCCGCGTATCGCGCCAGCGCAGCACCGCGCAGCACAGTCCAGCACAGCCTAGCACAGCAAAGCTCAGCACAGCGCTGCTATCGCCAACATTGCTCTTTCGTTACGCGAATACGAAGCTGTTTTACCTGCAAAATAATAGAATGCGTTTTAAATAAGAATTTGAATGAACCCGCGCCTTATCAGGCCCAAGTGGTAGCAGCGTTACAGTAAAATAATGTAAAAAGTGCTTTACCGGAAATATTTTGGAGTTTTAACGCATTCTTTGTTAATATTATAAAGAGGAAAGTTTAGTATGTAATGAGTAAATGATGCAAAAACAACTGGCACGATTTCAAACATTCCTATGCCATTAGAAAGCTATGTTATCGCTAAATAATCATTATTACCAAATTTTATTTTAAATCCCGCGCGGACGAAGTGGTAAACACATGTTAGTATACTATATAACGGTCATCATGTGTGATTTGCGGCGCGGCGTCTTCAGTAGTGCGAGCCCGTTACCTCGGTTCAAGGTAAATAAGTTGGCGGCGGCCGGACGACTCCAAGACATCCTTACGGAACAGAGTATTGTGTGATCTCCGTGTGGGACGGTCGGCGCTTTCGGTGAACTCATCCGTTATTGCGAATTCCTAGCGGAACACGACAAACTCTGTCAAACCCAAGGAGGGTGATTATAGAACATAGATTGAATATAAACTAATAAGTATGTAACAAACCGGGTCGCGTGTCTGTAACCCCATGTTTGTGTGTTCTCTGTTGCGGCATTCACAAGGTTCTCATCGTGAGGGATGTTTTTGTCGAACAAAAATAGTCTTGACTACCGTACATCAGGCTGACACCGAGACGGTAGACAGAAATGAGAAATGTAAGCGCAACAATATTTCTGTCCATGTTGCTGGCCAATGTTTACTTTAACTGTTATTAATAATGTAAAAAAAATGTTTACACGTTGTCAAAGTTGAATTTATTTTACATAATAACCGTAAAGTTACCAAAAGATCAATTATTGTTAAATATATTGTGGGGTAAAATTAAAAATATTTGAATTTTAATCTGCGTGTCGCGGCGAGCAATAGTTATGTATGTAGCTTACTAGCTGCTCCCGTATCGCTTCATCCCCATCATATAACATCACATTAAGTAAACATGTCGAACAATGTTTGTAACATTTTTATATTGTCTCGTATTATTTTACTTCTTGGATGGAGTGGTGATGCTTGTAAAGCCAGTTTACACTTGCAACGTGTAAATGCGCCTTTGAGTTTTTAGCCTAACCCGCTGAACGGGTTTCGATGAAATGTGGCTTAGATGTAGACATAGTCTGGAAGATCATAGATCATAGATCCCGAAAAAAGTTACGGTTTTATTATATGTGGGATTCATAATATTGTTTTTCCATATTTGTCATGTTGTGTTTTTATTTATACTGCACAGGTAACAATTAGTATTTGTATCTCATTATGGTCTTATTATGTGATAAACCTCGAACCTGCTCATACTTTACTCTCACCGCGTCGTCATTAGACCCGGTCGTAATTGATAAAAAGGTATTTTAATAAATTTTTTCTGTTTATGTAGCTGGAAGTCTATTTAGTTTGTCTATTCCGTCAACTCCTAGCGGGTCGGGGATGTTGCCAGCACGTTGCGTGACGTCGTGACGCCTGACGCCGGGCGGGAACAAAGACGGCAGCCACGTGGCCCTATCGATCCGCCGCGCAGCACCGCGCCCCGCACCCCGACACCTCCATTCACAAACGACGCTCGCCTTGTGTTGACACTGCTTCCCGGGTGGTCAGGGAGTCGACAACCCTTTACAAGAGCTCGCGTGAGGCCGCACAGGCAGGGCAAGACATAACTGGAGAAGCTCTTCTGTTTAGCCACTGCTAAGTGGGAACTGTTCCATTTTTGTGAAAAATTTCATCCATAATCGTTTAGCCGTTTATATCTATCGAAACTTTCGCATGTTTATTATAAAAACGAGTTGTTTCCTGTAACTTTAAATGCAACATTCTATTAAAACAACAATAATGCAAACCATTCGCTTCGTTATGTTGGCGAATTCCAGATACCGCTTGCTCGTTTTTCACCTTAAACTATAAAAAACACACACCGCTAGTCCGATGTAGAGTCTAACAGTATATTAATTGGACAAATAGTTTAGAAGATATCCCGAACGCAAACAATAAGGGTAAACAAAAAAATCAGCTCAAACTACCGAGTTTAGGAATTTTGAATCTTACATTTTTGTTATTACGTAGATTACTACTGACTTAATACGTACTCGGAAAGGAGGCTTCCTTCAAATTTATCTTGGAAAGGTTGAAAAAAGTGAACGTAAGTTATGAATTTGTAAGCTATACATGGACGAAATTGCAGGCAAAAGCTAGTTGTATATAAAAAATATCAGAAAACGTTGCTAGCACTCTAAAAATAAGCAGTAAAAAATGCGAATCTGATATTTCATATATTTTTTATTATTTGTTATAAATTTCTTCTTAAAAAGGTGCACAGATACAGAGCGGAGCCGTGCAAGGGCGGGGGTAAATTGTTTCATATCTTTGTGGAGGCGAAGAGACCTGCTCTAGCTGGCACTTTTATATTTAGGGATCTTTAGGAAATCCTCCATACTCTACGTGTTATACTGCCGGGTTTATTGCCGCACCCCGCCCCCCTTGTGATTATTTGCCCCCTTCGTGAAAACGAGGTTCACATTGCCTGATTAATATGTTAAATATCAACTTAAACAGTAGTACAGAACTTCTCATATTAAAAAAATGTTTGTGACAAAATTGTTTACACCTACAACGTCGCGGTCGCGGCCGCAGCTTGACCGGCATGGCCGCTCAACATGACATTGTGGGGGACGTTGACCTTCATTAATCTGTTTTATCACCTTCTCTTTTCCATTTTTATCACAATAAGTGTATTATCATTGTCTTATTGATAAGGAAAAATGTTTTATTATTTATATGTTGTGGCCAAATGTTAGATTTCACCAATTCATGAAATGTCCGTTATCATGCGGATGAAGCCGCACGCGAACAGCTAGTTAATGTATGTACGTAGGGGGGGGGGGACGAGTGGTCAAGGGGGTCTAGTATTAAAAATACTTTTTGTTTATTTAAAAGAGAATGTTTGTTTCCTTAGTTTGTAATAAAAATGACAAGTCGTTTTTGAGTTATATCTTACACTGACAGCTTAAGGCAGCGCGCTCACAATGCTCGTACGGTCCGCGATGGTACTAGCAACGTATGGACAGGCTCGGAGTAACGATGCAACGGTCCAACGAGGAAATGAGAAAGCTGCAATAATGCACTCGTTTTGTTACAGACGAGCACATCTGAGGAGCTGTTTGGAGCGGTTGAAGGGCATGGTGCCGTTGGAGCCCGAGGCGGCGCGCCACACCACGCTCGGCCTGCTAACTAAAGCCAAAAGGTTCATAAAGGTAACCGTCATCGGCGCTCCGCTTCTTACGCCCAGGGCTGAAATCTACCTCCTCGCTTTGCGCTACAAACTCGTAGCGCTTCTTAAGTACATGAACTGCGAATTATCAAAAATACTTACTACAAATATGTAATAGACATTGGATAACGAAACTCTACCTGCAGAGACTAGAGTTAGTCGCTAAGCGAGACCTTGAATATACTTATAATATGAATAATGAAGACTTAAGGAAATACTGTCTTTATATTATACATTGTATAAGGAGGTAAATATATGTGCGACGGGCGGTTTCAGAGCCTGGAAGAGCGGGAGAAGAGGCATTCCTGCCACAAGGAGCAGTTAGCTCGCGAGCAGCGCTTCCTGCGCCGCCGGCTGGCGCAACTGAGCGGCGCGGCGCGGCGCGCGCGCTGCTCGCCCGGGGAGGCCTGCGCGCCCGCCTCGCCGCACGCCGCGCATCAGCACTCCGCCCGGGCCGACTCCTTCTCCTCGGTGGAGTCCTCCTCCGGCGTGTCCACCGCCGACCGCTCGCCCTCCTCCGTCTCCGAGAGCGGTGAGTGCCTGCTGCTGCTGCCTCCGCTCGCTGCTGTCTGCTCGCACTCCGCCGCCTCCCATCAAGCGGCCTCTCTCCGCGCAGCCATATACAAAGTTTTAGTAAAATTTTCTTCTAAATTGAAAGCGATTAAATGTCCCAAATTAAATGTGTTGTAATGGCATTGGCGTTCCCAGAGGGGGCAGCTGCTTCCTCTAAAGACTACTAAATGTAAAATAGGTATAGAAACTACTATGAATATGAATATTTTGATAATAGCGGTCGGCGCGGCCATAACGTACAGCCGATTTTGTGCTACCGTTCCGTATGTTATTGTTAATTTATATTATACTTTTTTGTCGTTCGTTAGATATGACGTTAGAAGCGCCAATAGAGTTTTAATTCGACCATTGTCTGTCTAAGTGTGAATCATGATATTGCATGAAGTGGCTAAGGTGTGTCGGTGTGCGTTGCAGACGAGGTGGACGTGCTCGGCTACACGTCCAGCCCCAGCGACTGCGAGTCGCTGGCGTCGGGCGACAGCGGGCTGCCGCGAGCCGCGCGCCCCCGCCGCGCCCCGCCCCGCGCACCCACCCGCGCCCCCAGGTCCGGTCTCACTATTCATCATATACAACCAAGAATCCAACTGACTGCACTTCTCGATCCAATTCATTCGAGTCGCGCGGCCTCTTGTTGGCGTCTGCGCGACATACATTTTTAATTAAAAAAAAATGTTTTATAATATACTATTGTACTACAGCCGCATCGCGGAACGCGCCATCATCGGCGGTATTTCCCAATGGATACGACTGTGTCTTTGAAGAAGAGAACGTACCTTTGTCTCAGGGGGCGACAACGATTGTGCCGCGACTCCGGTGTGTCGTACAGGGTAGCAGTGTTGTACAGCGGGGGTGTGTGATGTGTTGCAGATGGGGGCTGCCCCAGCCCGCCGCGCCCGCGCCCTCGCCCGCGCCCGCGCCCTCGCCCTCGCCCTGCCCGGCGCGGCCGCTCTAACCTGCCCGGACGACTCTGCACCAGCTGCTCCACACACACAACACACACACACATCGTATTGAGTACAAAATCGCCAAAAAAAATCTATCACTTTTACTTAACCTTACACACTTAGTTATTTAACAACCGCCCGCCGCTCAACTAGTTAAATTTGCTTTTCTAATTTCATCAGTTAAGTATGTTTATTATCACGCTAAGTGTTTCAATAGGTGGAGGGTGCGGCGGCGCGCGGCCAAGGGAACCGCCTTTTAACTTCTGTTATGTGCACAAAAATCACAACTTGCAACGCGGAGAATTTAAATGTAAAAAAGGCGCCGGCGTGTCAATTGTGTCCATGGAGAGTCCTCGTGCACATCCGCGGGATGTCGGCGCCTGCCTTCTCACTTCCCTTCACTTCAATCGCTTCTCCAAACCGATCAAAATTAGTATCATTTCTCGACAGTGGATTTATACACAAGGTTCCTTCTAACCTTTTACTTCTTCATTTCTCTGGCACAAGTGCTACTTCCAGACTTCGTGCAATATACTCTAATGGTAGCTGATATCTTGGCGTCCCTCCGCGGCCGCTTGCGAACTCGCCCCCTGACATGCCAACCATAGAACTTGAAAGGCATCCCTGTGTCGGACCCTGGACTTTCCCCTTTTGAAAGATTTTATGTTATTTCACATTTTGTTTTATGTATTTACACTTTGTTTTTTTTTTTTCAAAATTTATCTTTCTTATGTCCTTCGACAATATTTAAACGTAGGATAAGTACCTATTGGCAAAACCAGCCGGCGATTTGTCGGCACCACGTCGGCGACACGACACTAAATATCGTTAATGACTTACTTAGGCGAGGAGAGTTTGTATGGTTGCGGCCTGACGTTTGCGTCCCGACCTGCCGACACCTCTCGCCTCTCGCCTCTCGCCTCGAGTTGCGCCGTTCGGCCGAGTCTCCTGCACATAGCCTGGCTCTCTGTCCTAGGAAAGTCGTCATGACTCCTGCCAGCTACGAGTACAGCTTGTGCAGCCATGACACACACACGCTGATGCGTTACAGTACCACCTTTTGCCACGCGCAGTTTTCACGGAAGGCAATATTTTCTAAGAAAATCGCATCGCTTGCACCGCGAGCGTCGAGAGGCTAGAGAGAGCTCGGCCGAGCGAAACTCTCCTAGTGGAAATAGCATTATGTTTGTATATAACTATTTGTTTCTTGTAGTATAGACGAATGAAATAGATAATACCTGTGTAGAGCGCGCGGGGAGCGCGGGGAGTGCGCGGGGACTCCCCGCACTCCCCGCGCACAACGACATCATATTTTTAGTATAATTTGAATATTGATGATCTCATTTCGATGTACGTCCTTCCAGTAATGGTGTCATTTTTTATTTAAACTTTGGAAAAATGTTCAATCAAACCGTTAATCCGGCGACCGCTTGTGACCGCTTGTGATTATTGCACTCACTTCTACAAATATGAATACGTAAACATTGGTTATGTGAGTGGAAGCGAATGTCCGCCTCCGAGCAACACCACACCGCTGTGACTGCTTTTTGGGACTCTATTGTTTTGTGCGATTAGTTAAGACAGTTGTTAGGTAAATGTGGATTGCGAGGAGGCGGAGAGCGGAGAGCGGAGAGCGGAGGGCGCGCGGAGCGGTTCGTGCCGTAGTGTGCATGTGGACGGATGACGTCATTACTCGGGGGGCGCGGAGGGGCGCGGCGGACGCGGACACAAACCAAAAAGGAATGTGTAGCGCGCGCGGCGGCGGCGCTCCACTTCTCACACAGAGTACATTATATATTTTTGTTATAACTATTGTATTTAATAAAAATAAATTGTTAATTTATTTTATGGTGACGCGAATGTGGTTTTTTATTATGTAACGCATGATGGGCGAGGCGGCGGCGGCGGCGGCGGCGGCGGCACAGGCACACGACGGCTGCGCCTTGTTTCCGTCCGGCCTGTGCTACCGATGTGATCAACTATAAACATTTTTTTACATAATAATGCAAACACTATCTTGTGTTAACTGTATGTTATCCTTAACTTATTATACATATAGTATTTTACATCAATCTATATTTGTCACCGTCCACCAGCAAACACCGCCTTTCGGAAATTATATATCGAACAAATGATGAAAGTGACGTGTTATATTTTACGATGAGTTGTCGTATGAGTAGGGTCCGAGCGCGCCAACAGCTCGCAGGATGTCGCGGGGTGTCCGCTAAATGTCCAAGATAGTGAGTGAACGTATTTATTAAGGATATATATATGTTTTAATGAAGAGGCGCCAGCTACTGTAGTGTTTATAATAAAGATGAGAGATAGGCGGTGGCGGCGGTGACCCACTGCCAGTTAGGTTCAGAGCGAGTCCGAGCCGAGCACCGTAGTGTCGCCGCACCGCCCTTACACCCCTTATTTTCAAATGCAATATAATATATATACATTTGTAGTGGTTTTCTCTGACGATACATTCATACCAGAGCCTGAAGTCGACAATTATCATGGCAGTGGTATTTCACGCTGAGTGTATTTTCCTAGAAACGTGGATGTTGTTGCATTAGAAATTCACAGATCTGAATCTCATAATTTTTGACCTGAGATCGTTAGCAGTAAATATGTGGCGGGGTCGCCGCTTGCCTCATGTCCCCTCACTAATGTTCTGTGCCCGACTACATTATCCGCCATTAACAGACCGACACTGGAAGCCATATGATACAAAGCTTCGGAGCCGCCCGCCAAATGTCGTATAAAACCGCAATAAACACTGTGCGCAGTGCGGATTCTCCCCGCGACGCTCGCGCATTCTCCCAATTGCAAATATGAGGAGAACAATAGTAGAATAAAATTTTATGAGGAAAATTATTTAAAAAAATGTATACTGTGAGAATGCGCGGCGCACGCCGCCGTCGCCGCCGTCGCCGCCCGCCGCCCGCCTACATTCATCTATGTTACTGAGGGAACGCGGCATATGTAAGTTACTATGTAAAAAGTTATAGAATTCATTTAATAAAATTATAATTAAAACTGTCTATTGTATTATTACACTCTTATCAAAAGAGAAAACTTCGGCTTGCTCATGCCGCTGTCCGCACCTGAACCTGACACACCTGGCTCGGAGCGACACTAAAACAATAAAATAATAATAACACATTTGTTGATTTAAACCTCAACTGACTACCCCTCAAACATTATCGGGAATAATATGAATCGAAGTACTCTTGTCAAAATCGGTACACACCTTGTAGTGCATAGTTCATAATCGTACTATACGAGTGTGAATCTGTGGTTCCTACGTTTAGACTCTAGGCTAGGAACATAGATACAAACATTCACAAGGAAAATATAAGCCTCCTGTTTGGAGAATGGACTGTATTTTCTTTGGGGAAGTAGAATAATACTATATTGCTGGCAAACTGTTTATTGAAAAATATGAAAATAAGTAAAAATAGGTTGGCGTGTCGCCGAGATGTAGCTCTAGAGCGCAACGCGCAACTAATAGCAGATAGCAGCACGGTGTGTGGGCGCGCGGGGGACGGACGGGGTGCGAAGGGTTCCCCTCCGCGCGGCTTCCCCGTTGCAGTGCTACAGCACTGCACTGAACACCTCCCGTCTAAGTCGGATGATACGTTTAATGAGAATTCCTGCTGGAATACGGCGAAAAGAACAACTGAATAGAGAACAAAGAAATAAAACTACAGCAGTAAATGAAGTAATTTAATTTATTACATTCGGCGTCGGAGTCGGCCTGCGACTGCGAACATCCGATTCGCATGAATACAAAACTATTACGTAAAAGGTAACGCAAACAATATTTGTTTTCACATTTTAATATTTATCGTACAACATTTCTCTTTAATCTCTAAATACAAACAACAACAAAATGATAAATATTACATTTTATATAATATTTAAATATATATCTTCAAAATTGTACAGAAGTAGTACGTACAGTGCAAACCGACCAATCTGACATCTGGCCCCTGTTTAATATAAAACCTGAGGTGCCAAATGTATTCCTTGAAAATTATACAGGGTCATTGGTAAATAGATGTATTCCCGCTACAAGATGATGGAGGGGATAATTTAAGATAATTTTAACCTCTCTGTGTATTATGCTAAAGTTAACAATTTTTAGTTATCATTATTTACTGATTTTTTTTAAGTCAAAATAGCAACTTAAACTTTATATTTCTTTAGATTTATAAAAACCATTAAACACTGATTACTTAAAAATATTAAAAGGGTAAGGATTTCCACATTTTTACCATAACAATTAACAATTGTAAGTATAGTAATGAATTTACATTGACTGACACTGACTTCAAAGTAATAATAATTGTACAATATAGACATAACAGCTACAAAAAGGGAGGTTTACTATTTTCAAGGAATTATTTCGTTACTTTTTAGTGTACTGTTTTTTTGAGAATATTTTCTTTTTAGTGTATTTTGTTTGGAAGTCGGTTTTGTTTTTTTATTAAAAAGTCTATTTATTTCTCGATTTTTAGTGAATCTAAACAACGCAGTTTGATAATCACTAGTTTTCAAACAAAGAATGAGTTATCTAAATCGATTATATAAGAAATTAAGTAAAGATCTAATACATCGTTGCGATCATTCACTCATAATTCTGTCCAGCCGCGCGCCGCTGTTGCCCGTGAGTATATACGAGTGTTTTGATAACTTTTAGAATCTTTGTCAGAATTACATACTGTAAAATGCAATTATGATCTACATTTAATACTCTAACGTGAAAACAAATTTATTTGGATAAGGATTCATACCAAATAAGAATAAAAGCGTTTTAAATGTAGTCGATTGCATTTTTTTGACGGTTTTCGCGAAACAAACGGTTATTGTGCGACACCCTTAAGAGATAGATATATGCTATCGCGGACTTTAATATAGCTAAATTAATGAGTTATAATTCTTTCATACATCATTTTTATGTAAATCTTATAGTTTAGGCTACGTAAGCCAAGAAAGCAAACTTTGTTACAAGTTGGTATTTTTTTCTGCGACTCGTAATTTGCTATTTATGATATCTCCTAAACTATTGATTGGAATTACACAGTTCCAAGGTTATTTATCATCTACATTAAATTGATGATAGACACATTTATTTAGATAAGGATTCATACCGAACACGAGTAATAGCGTTGAAAGTGGAGTGTAGATTTCGAGCGTTATTTTAATGAAAAAAGTGGTTATTGTGCGACAACCTTAATAGATAGATATATGCTATCGCGGACTTTTATTTAGCAAATTTAATGGGCTACAATTCTTCCATATATCGTTTTTATGTAAGTCTTATAGTTTAGGCTACGTAAGCAAAGAAAGCAATAATGACCCTAAATTTCGTCGCGCGATTTTGAGCTAAACTATTTAACTACGTCGTAGTCTTGGACTCCAAAAATCAAACAAAAAAATGGGACCCACCTGTAAGCATTACCTTTCGGATAAAAAAAAGAATTATCAAAATCGGTCCACTAGCGGCGGAGTTATCCCGTAACACACATAAAAAAAAAATAGACGAATTGAGTACCTCCTTTTGAGAAGTCGGTCAAAAATATTAATATACCTAGACAAGAAGCGTAAAAAAATATCTTGCATACTATAAACGTAAACAGCTTAGGCAATGCTTCACTTCCACTTGAAAATATAAAATGCGATTTCGTCACTTTAACGCGCAAATTAAGTAGTGATTTCACATTTTGTTTATATTTAACGTTCTAATGTTGAATTGTAATTAATTGTAATGTTTATTTAAAATTAACGTATCGGTTTCGTTTTACATAATATCTTTAACTTGAGAAACCGAGGGCTCCTTGACAGAATTTGTGACATGCCTCGCGCCGGTTTAAAAGTACCTCGCAGGCCGGCACTGCATAACTACTAGGAATTGAAAAAAGCACATGATTTCAAAGGAAGCAGGCGGTAATTCGTACTAAAAGTAATTAAAACCGGAACAAGTGTTTTTATATTAAATGTGTCTAAAATAATTTATTTAACAAATTTCCGGGCGATTTTACAAATTATATGATATACGAGTACATTGCCTAGGAATTGTGCTAGGAATCCTGTGCAATGACGAATTTGATTAATGTTAACTATTCACAAATAATATCTTACAATACGGCAGAGTGCATTCTTAAAGCACATACCTACATATAAATTAGTGTAAAAGTTGCAGGCGGTGTTGGCGGTGTTGGCGGTGTTGGCGGTGTCGGCCGGGTGCGCCGACATGCACACGTTGGTCACCGCTGCCTTCCTGCACCACCAACACCTACACGACACATATTGCCTTCCTCTTGCGGCTCGGGGACAGTTTGCTTTGTGAAACTCGCTTTTATGAGTGTCGTAAACTTAAATCATTGTATGTACGTATGTTTGTACAACTTACATTATTTAGACTTATGCAAAAGTAAATATCCACCATAGACTGGCTCAGGAAGGGGGGTGGATGGTTATTATACAAATTAACGACTAATCTATTTATTTATTCAACCGATTTTTAGACAACATAACAAATTATATCTTCAAGCGCGGGCCGTCACGCGACACATCGCCCGGAGCTTTCGGCACATTTACGTACTAATAATGAGCATTACGAGCAGTACCACTACCCATGTCTTAAATGATTCTAGGAAGCAATGTACTGCATTAGTATATAATGTTTTTTCTTTATATACAAGAGGTATATTTAAGACGCGGTTGCTGCACGAGGGGCGGCGCGGCTCAGTG